TCAACTCTTGTGCCAATTGAACCCATATATAAATATATATATATATATATATATATGTAGGCCACAGCAGACCCAAGGTATGTATGTATACAATTATATGAATTTCTCTCATATTTATCTGATCTATCAATTTAGTTAAACTCTTTTGTGACTAACTTGACAGTCTCTGTGACTTACCTTAGATTTTCTATAGCCAACACACCCATGTTTGGAGATCAACAATTATTTTCAAGTCCAAAATAGTAAGCAGAATTTAGATTGATTTAATGTGCTTTCTTGCCTGCCAGTTGCCTCTACACTAATAATTAGTTTATTCTATTTTTCTCATCCAAATATTAACTAGTTTTAAAGGATTTGATACTGTCTTTTCACCAAAGTGCTCCTCAATTCATATTATGGTTCTTATTTGTTTATCCAAATGTCGGTACTATGTTTTCTCCGTATCACACAACCTATTGAACCATGTTGTAGGGCTCTTATATACTGCTTCTCTGAAGCTGAGCCTTAGCGCTCAGCATCTGACTTAATGGAGTATATGTGAATTGGATATATATGAATTGGTATAGTTGGCTTTTTGTTCAACATTTGTAGCCTTTCAACCTATACATAGGCCATAACAGACCCAAGGTATGAATTTCTCTCATATTTGATCTATTGATTTTGTTAAAAACTTCCGAGGCTAACTTTAGCGTCTTAAGTTCCCTACCAGAGCACACTTCTGCAACCCTTCACCGTCTTTCCTCCTGCTTTCAGATTGTGCTTTCTTCTGTAACAGCTACCTCTACCTAACTATTCTACACTTGTAAATTTTCAAGATTTGAGTGTTTTTAGATTTTACTTTAACAAATTCCGTATGATGTCTATCTCTCTTAATTGGATGCTAATTCCTTTATAATTACCAATCACAGTGATTCATATCTGATCATGTGAAAGTGAAAGGAATAGCAACTACTCACGCATTGCCTATACTTACCAACATTCCCTCACATCTTTTTCTAATTAAAGAATTTTGTGTAATTATTGGATGTTCAAGAATGGAGAATTGGTTTCCCTTTGAAAAGCTGCGGGATCTTCACGTTCATGATTGCAAAGAGTAATAGCATAGAAAAAAGAGGAAGGAAATCAGACAATGGATGGAAGAGCTACACTCTTCCAAAATTAACCTTCTTTGGGACTTACATGACGAAACAGAATTGAAGAGAATCCGCTAAAGCAATGGTTTGTTATTCTTTTAATTTTCACATTCTAAATTAACTTTTTAAACTTAATAACTTATTTAAACTTGCTAGTATCAATTTTGTTTTTAATATGGCAAGACATGTCTTAACTCTTCTCATGATTCAGGTTTTGTTTTTTTTTTTTGGGCCTCAACTCTGATTCAGCATTGCCGATTCAAATCTCACTGAAGTTTTAGCACTAACTGCAGCACTCTAAATTTGTGCAATTTACTTCTTTTTAGTAAAATAAAGTGATCCATCAAGTTGCTGTGTCATGGTCCCAATAAATTGTTCATTAATTGCTTGCACTTTTCCATCCAAGATTAAGTGGTTTTAGATTCTATTTTAGAGGATTTAATATTGTCTTTTCTCCAATGTTGTCATTAATGGATGTCATGGCTGTTATTTGTTTACCTGATCATTGGTACCATGTATTCTCCATACTGGCTGAGGGACTCTCTAAACTTATGGCAGCAAGTTTGCTTGAAGAATTGGCCATTGGGATTTCTTTGTACGAGGATGAGATTAATGGAGGTTATATGAATGTATATGTAAGTTGGTATAAAAATTAGCCTTTTCATTTTTCTGGTACTTTGGGTATGGTCTAATTGGATAACTGTTCTTTTGCTGTTGAAGTACCTGTTGGCTCCTCAATAGGGTACAATGCGGCTGTGCTGTGGAGTCGGATCCTCTTAGAGTTGGCAGAAAGGAATTCGCCTTTTTTTCAATAAATATGATTGAAATAGAGGTTAGCTATCATTTTCACCTACTTTGATATTTCCATTTGTAATTCAACCATCTGTTCAAATGAAGCCCGGGACATTTGAATTGTTTGACATATAGCTGAATTCAACTTTCTCCTGCAGAAGCCAATAATCTGATTTTTGTGGAATCCCTAGCTAGAGTTGTGTTTTAAACCAATATTCCTTCTGCTGTCACCAAGTTTGTGGGTTTATTTGACAGGAGAGAGTTTCTCTCGGACTTAGCTGACAGTGCCCATAATTTCCTATTGAACTGCTTCAGATATCCACAAACAAAACCCAAGATTTTTTCATGTAAGGAGAGGGTTTTGCAGGCAGTTATGTTTTGGGGTTCCCTTTCATTCTTGCACATATGGTTATGTAAATGCTCTGTAACTCATTCCTTAATCTTGCAGGCCACTATGTACCACAACTTGTGGAGCAGGGTTTGTCTATGATCAACACAAGGACATACAAATATACATTAATCATCTCAAAGGTTTTATGGTAAGAATAATCCCCCATCTTTATGCTTTACTGGATAGGGGATAAAATTGATCAGCACCATTAGGCTGCACGTACTTATCTTATACATCTCAAGCCTACATGAACATAATGTACTAAGATGATATCCATGTTGCAGGTAGGCAATTCAGAAGCCGATTATTATTATGATTATAGTGCCTTGCCAAGATATGCTTGGACCTGTTATGTGAGACCAAACCAGCTCTACTTCAAAGCCAAACAAGTGTGGTCTTCAAAGTCTCCATACTAATTTGCCTGACCCTGATGAGTGCAACAATTTCATGAACAAAGTCTTTGAAGAGTATACAGAGACGAACATTTTCAGAAAAAAGAGAGACATCATCAACGATTTCTCTTGGATCCGTGGTAACTAGATGGCTGGTTTTAGCATGTTCCTCGAGAATTGTAGCATTGATCTTGCTGAACTTTGGACCTATGCGTTGCTCTCCTTCTGGCTTTAGAACTTAACATTAACAAATACCAGCTACCACCCTCATAGGAACATCATCAAGAAAATCACTGGCACTACCAATACCAGGAGGTGGATCCCGACAGATACACAGCTGATTGCATGGCTAAATATAGTCTTGAAATCATCAACTTGTGTTTGAAATCCCTTCCAAGGGTATTTTGGCTTCTCATTCTGGCTGATGCTGATAGTATTGCATCCCTAGAATTACTAAATAAGTCATACCTTTTGAATCTTGAAGCATATATATAATGTAAGGCTTAGCACATCAGCACACTGTCAATTTCAGAACATTGAAATTTAGAGTTCAAATTCGGATAATCAATATATGTTATTTAATTTGATACAGCAAGCAGATTGGCGTCATTTTTACCATCAAAATTTTTTAACTTTGCCTCATTTTGCCACATCTTCTACAACTTTAGTTGCGGATAAGGATAATCCATTACTCCGGTATCTTCATTCTACCCATTTCCAGATTATGCACAAGGATATCTTTGCTCCCCAGAATAATTTTTACATTTTCAGAAACAGAGTAGTACGAAAGAAAACAAGAACACGTACGGATGTAAACAATTTCCTTTCATATATATCTACAATTTCTGTTAGAGCTGTGGTGTCAAAGCTGCAATACAGTGGCGGTAAAGTGACAGCCACATGGAGCTGCACAAAATGGCAGCAAATCTTTTGAATATAATATTATTTTAAATGTTTGATAGATTTTCTTGTGTCAAGTAAATATTAGGTGAGAAAAGTATTGTTTTATATTGTATTGTTTTTGCTATTTACAGCAGAATATTAATGGAAGAAAATTCACCTCACCAAAAGAGGGAACTCCGGGTGTCTCCTTTTCCGGATGTCTTGCATTCTAGATGAAAAACAATAGAAAAACTAAAAGCATCTTGCAATACAAGTTTCTATCATTTGGAGACAAAACTAAAAATAGAAATCCTGAGTTCAATTTTTCACATACTTCTCTTTTGAATCCAGCCAAAGCAGCACCCGAGAAATCCTGGTCTAGGAACTTCTTAACAGCAACCTCCTGTGGTTCAAAACCCATTACCAGCCAGGAAGTTCGAAACTCCATTTTTCCTTTCGTATCTTATTGATTCAAAATTGGTACAGGTAGAGAAATCGTGTCTTAAAAACACAGCTCTTTCACAAGCTGCTTGATAGAAAGAAAAATTTTAATAAACTTTCAATTTTAAAAATGATGTTGCTTTCAAGTCAAAATGATATTAACTTCCAATTCCAAAAGTAGAGAAAGAAAGGTATTGCCAATTATGATTCACTTATTAAAAATTCTATATTACCATCTAAACTATTGGAGCGTTGTTTATGCAAAAGGTTCTACAGTGATGTTCATGTTAATCCATGTTGTCATATTATAAGCCATCACCGAGTCTCTAAAGCAACATAAAAATGACAAACCAACATCTTAAAGAGAACATTTTAAAGAGACAAGAACAAGTTCTCCAACTTTAAGTAAAACAACAACAAATAAAAAGAAAATAAGGAAAGAACTGATCAACTTTACAAATTTCAAGGGAAAAATAGTATCTAAAACTAACCGTGTCATTCCAATCAGCATGATAGACCTCTCCATATGAACCTATTCACAAGAAAACAAAATTCACAAAGAATTAGAATTCCGAAAGAAATGAAAACAGTATATCTATATAGCAGTGAAACACCATACATGGCTGCTCCTAATAACTCTAACCTTTAAAAGCAATAATGTAGTTAAGACTGAAAAAACTGACAGTTTAGGCACTAAAAATCCATCTCTGCAAAACCATGATTTCCAAAACCTAATACAGAATAGATCATATGCCTTACCCAGTCCAATTCTTTCACCAATAAGCAAGTCTTCCCATGCAATTTCAAAATCACCCACGTCTACATCATCAAAGAGTTGATCAACCCTTTCTGTTATGCAATCAACTGGTGACCTAGGACTTTCAGGATTCTTCAATTTCAGATTTTTCCCCATACATTTATCAGGTTTGGCTTCTCTGTGATCATGTAAACCCACTTCATTACTTTCCTGATCTTTAACCATATCCACAGTGTTATTTTGCACATCCTGCCATCCATTGGATTTTTCTCCATTAAAGTTTGTGCTCACATCCTGAACCATTGGTGCGTTATTGAACTGACCAGTAGTAGAAGTCAAAGATTGTCCCATGTCAGACAAACGATCCCTAGATTTATTATCATTATTGGGGAGATTGGAATCACCCAATAACTTGAAACCGTGAGGATGGACCTTCTCAGATTTTGTTGAGCTGGTTGAAGCTGATGCTGATTGATGGAACTCATAAGACTCACGATTGATTTTGGGAAATAGACCATCCACATAATTGTACTCCTTTTTCTTGGGGATCTCATTGTAAGTGGGCCGATTCTTCCGTAATGAGACAGGGGGGCGACTGATGACAATAGTCATTTTTTGTCTTTGAAGGTCATCAACTTTGCTTTCGGTGGATTTGTTCTGCAGGTAAGTTTTATCTGTCCCTTTTATCTGGAAAGGATTAAGATCTGCAAAAAGGTTTTTAGTCATCCTAACTACTCCGACTGTATGGAACCACATTGAGGTTCATCCTTGCACTGTCAACTGTAGGATTGGTCCCATGCACGACTCCCTTTATAAAGTGAAGCTCCAATTACAGTAGAAGGAAGATGATCCAACTGATTAGGGGACATTTTGTTAGATATTATGGAAGTGACAACAGCAGAGTCAC